TGCCACATCAAAATTGTGTTTCGAAATAAATATATGAATTGGCTACCTTGGGATTCGTAAAAAAAATTGTTTTATTTTTAGCTTTTGCAAAATATAAAATAGTACAATATCCATAATGCTCTGGTAATTATTCAAATAAAAAGTAAATTTAAATATTGAAAAGAACAAGAGTTATAGCTTTTGTCACTCTGTATATTTTATACTACTGTGTGTCTAGAAGTCGAAATGGTCAATTGATCGAGAATTATTATTAATCGATCGCGGACATTTTGTAGGTTATATCAAAAGCAACAATAGCAATATTTCATACCTCCAGAGCCGATCAGTTTTACAGATAACACGGACGGCATATAATTTACTATAGCTCATAAATAACGATAATAATTTGCAGTCTATGCGCAGTAATTATATTCTCGCTGTAACTAATATCCGTTGTTTTTCTCCATCACGAACTCACTATTAATGATTATCAAAACTCTAATCGGATTTAATCGGTTTTTACTTTTCTTTCCCTGTAAACGTTTTTTTTTTTTTTTTTTATCTGTCCACTAATTGTTCATTAAAAGTAAAAATACGCGGTTTTTTTTCCGTCCGGTTATATTGAAAACTGTGAATAATTCAAAAGGTTATTGTCAATTATATTTACGTCCAATAAAATAATAGCGGGAGAATACGTTCCGTATAATAATTAAATTATATATATATAAAAAAAAAAAAATACTAAATTATAAAACGATTATGTTTAAATGGATCGATATAATAATTTTAGTTTTCATTAAATACGATTTTATGTTATAGTTTTTAATGAAACTTCAAATAGAAGCATTTCGTTTATTTAGTATTTTTTTTTTAATCGAAACAATTATCTAGACAGTAGATGTTATCTACGTTTTAAAAACAAGCATTTTTTACATGACAGTAAAGTGTTGATAAACAATCCGTGTCGATATATTTTAACATAATATATGGAATGCGGTTATAGGATACCGGTGTCACCTATACAAAAAGGCTGATATCCGTTTGAATGACACGTCAAAAGCCGTGACACTCGATACGAAATACAAATAAGCCGAAGAACTATGTCAAAAACAAATAATATTAATTAAAAACAACAAAATAAACGGTAAAAATGTGTATTAAATTGCAAATATTTAAGTTGTATAACATTTATTTTTAATGGGAGTCGAAAAAAAAGCCGGGCAACTTTGCACGTGGGCGGACCACTGTTATAGGTAAGAAGTTAAAAAGGTAGTAGAAGGAAAATTGTATGTATATCTGTAAGCAACGATAAATCATTGCTAACGAAAAAAAGATTCTGAGAGAAGTTCAGTTGATAGTGTTGCTTTGTCAAAAATATATATGTAATATTATAGTAAAAAGATTAAATAGGCTTTATATATATATATATTTTTAATAATATTTGTTTAATATTCTACTGATTTCCTGAGAAAATCAAAAAAATGACCTCCTTAAAGTACCTTCCCAGTCAGATTTCCTATTAGAAAAAGTGTTATTATTGTAAATCGGAGCAAAATTGCTGGTAAAAAGGTTGTTCACAGGAAAAAATAAACTTCTTCGCTCTACTCAGGATCTAAAATATGTCAATTTTAATATTTGTTAGTAACTATATAGTATATACTCTATAATTTTTCAAAAAAAGTTAAATTATTCATTCAGTATAAGAAAAAATTAATTTTTTGATGCATATATTATACAAGAAACTATATTATATATAGAAACTGTACAGCTATCAAATTCTATAATGTTCTTTATAAGAAATACCTTTTTTTTTTTTTTGTACATACATAAAATAAACAAAATACTCGATAATACCCTGTGCATTTATATATAACTGCCTGCAAAAAACAATAAAATAAGATGCAATGAAAATTTTTAGATTTGATATATATGTATATTATGTAAATATAGGTGTTCTTTTTTTTTTGAAGAGAGATTTCATCTGAAATAAGATTTATCTGAAACAAGTACTTTCTTAAGTACAATATGCAAATACGAGCATTTGTCGATGCAATGTAGAGTATCTTTTTTGCGAGTTACAGCTGACTGCCACGCGGATTTAACGTTTGCTGGACGAAATATTCCTTAAGATTAAAAATCTGATAGCTAATTAGATGAAAATCCGTGTTTCTGAAACCGTGATTACCAATCCGATTATCAGTAGGATTGACAGGTTACGTATCTACTGCAATACATTAAAAGTAATAAAAATGTTTACGGTTTTTTTTAAAAAAAAACTTTAACTATTTATTATAAATAGTTGACAATACAATTTCGGACAACTATTGAAAGTACTGTCGATACATAATATCGTATCTAAACTGCATACAGTATCCAAACTACTTAGTGTTGAGAAACCTACTAACTTTGTTTCGTCATTATTTACTACCTATTAAAAAGTTTTAGACTTTATTTGTCCTAAATTCCGCGTTTTTAAGATCTATTGGGTAACACTGGAGCTCAAGCATTATGAGTAAGTATTTCGTTTTATTCATAAAATACCTATGGAAGTTAACTTTCAACATCACGTTTTTCAGTTTAGTATAATATACAATTTTAGGTGGTCTAATGAAACGTAATACGGTAAACTGTGTTTCTTTTTAAATCATTGCTAACTCGATGAGTTAAAACTATTTTAGATAATGTTTCATAATTATGTTCTTTCATTAAAACTTTCAACTATAATTAACATTTTGCAAAATATGCACTTACACGTTTTTACAATACAACTTCAACGTTTAATTTCGTTTTTGCGAAGTTTATGAAACTATATTTTTTTCTTTTTTTAATGCACGTACACTAAATACAACGACAATCACCAAGCTAACAACTAAATTAATAATACGGAAAAACAGAATTTACAACTCGTTTATCAACAAAATATTTTTGTTGACGGATTTTCTGTCGGACGCAATTCGCACGAAAATTCACGTAAATAACACCATAATGTTATGATTACATTTTATTGTGACGCGACTTATATAGTACTAACTTTCGTATAAACGACCCTTTCAAATAGAAACATTTTATTGTTACGGATAACTACGAGTTAAAAGCGTCTTACAAATAGACAATAGCAAAAAAAGCCAATAATAAACGAAATAATATAGAACATTGCTACAGCATAGATAGGCCATCTGTCTAGTTAATTGCATCAGAAAAGACAGTATTGAGAGCTCCATTACCCTATTGCCCTGGCACCTAACTATACATTTTTGGCTTGAAAATTATGTCACGAACTAGTTAATTATTTTGTTGTTATTTGTTAATCGAAATTCGGAATTTGTTACTCCATTTTAATACACAAAAACCGTATTTTTATTTCCGAGTACTGGGGTAAGCGCCAGCATTGGAAAAATGCACTTAGAGACTTCAAACCGATTTGAAGCAATAAGGCAGAACTTGTTGTAATTTGTTATTCAAAACTTTTAATGTTCTATAAAACAAATTCCAAAAAAAGTTAATACTATCCGAGATAATGAGTGTATTCACTTATAAGGTCACTCTGTATATACAGACGAACATCCATTTTTATATGTATAAGATATTTGATAACGAAAAAAAAAATTGGCTGATAATCTCTTTTAGTTCGACTACAAGAAATAAAAGACAATTTTAATCTTATACAAATATATATATTTAAGGATTCAGGTTTTTATTCAGGATATTACCAAATAAAAAAATCTTCAAAACGTAGAAGTGAACAATACACAAAATAATTTTTACCGATGCTGGTGCTTTCTCCAGCACTATAAAATAAAGACGGTTTTAGGGGGTTCATATGGAGTAACAAACTCTGAATTTTAGGTAACAAATTAACCTATGAGGCGGAAAAAAAGACGGTTTTAGGTGTTAAAATAAAATAATAAATTCCGAATTTATAGTAACGAATTAAAGCCATATCGTTAAATCCCATCTGCCTTATCATCTTTTACCTATTTGAAATTTCTAAGAATATTTTTAAAGATGCTGGTGCTTCCCCCAGCACCCCGAAATAAAGACGGTTTTCGGATGTTGAAATGAAAAAACAAATTTCGAATTTCGATTAACAATAATACTAACAAATTCCACCTTATCGACTCGAACCGGTTTAAAGTCTCGTAAATGCATTTTTGGCTTATTCGGCTGCACGAGATAGCTTATCCCAGCACCCGGAAATAAAAAAAAAAACCATTTTCGGGTGTTGAAATGGCGTAAACAATTCCGAATTTCGATCAATAAACAACAAAAACAAATTATCAACTAATTCACGACATCATTTTCAAGTAAAAATTTCAAAGTCGGGTGCCAGGGGAATGGAGCTGGTATTGAGCCAAAAAAAAGGAAAAAAAAAACACAATTGTCATTATATTATTGCGGTTATATAAACAATAATAATAACACTATATTAGTATATTAGTATTATTATATTTTTAATAATATAATAATTGATACAGACTCAAAGTCGGACCGGTCGGTCGTGTCCGGACGGGACCTTGACAACGGATACGGTACACCTCTTTTCGCGCGTTCTTCCGTACAACAGACGCGTGGTTTTTCTTCCTACGATCGCGCGCCGCTCTCCCACCCCGCCCGTGACATTCCCCACACCGACGACGTCGGCAAAACCGACCCGACTATATAATCTAAACGGATTCCCGCCGAAACCCTAGTATCTGGTTACCCAAACTCCTAACCGTATATACCATAATATCGTACACAAACACACCCACATCGTCCAAAATATTTCGATATTTCGTTCGCTAGTACAATATCATTATCGTCTTTACACGCATCTCGCAATAATATTACTACGCCGTCGTCATCGCCGTCCAAGATTGCACGCCGTTTCTCTATATTTATTTTGTATTATTTTTTTTAAAACAAACTTTTACGTTCGAACAACAAAATTTACTCACTTCTAATCGATTAATAATATTCCGAAGTATTCGCAAGTGTCCGCGAATAGAAGAACGAACGTTTATCACACACACACATACAAAATGGTTTCCGTACAAAGAGTGAGTAATTGACTATTATTTATATTGTATTTTTATGTATTTATTATGCGCCTATATTGTTGAAAAAAAAAAATTAAGAAAACCATCGAAATCGGTCAAAATTCCCATGGTTTTTTCTTCAAGTCTCTTGCCGTTCGAAATTACCAACACTCAATTTGCAATCGTCGTGGCCAATTCTACATACAATTTAATAATACGTTATTTTTCAAAAAGCTTTCATTACAAAAAAACAAAAACCCTTCGCATGTATACCTATTACACAACGGTAACAGTGCCGTGCTCGCTTAAGACATTTAAAATAACCTAGTTAAATAATAATTGTCGACGTACGTTTAAAATTTGCATAACTTCAATAATAAGAAATCGCATATAATTATAATATTATTTTACAAAATATATTGTTTTATACGTTGATAGGTACCAACAGAATATAGGCATGTAGGTGTGCACGAAAATAGTATAGAATATGTTTTAAAAAGAAAATGTTGATACTGCTGATGGGTGTGCAATTTTTTTTTGAAGGAAAAAGGCCGAAAGTGATGGATACATATTATATCTCTACTCAACGATAGGTAAACCATTGCTGATTAAAAACGACTCTGAGTAGAGTATTATAAGTCGTATTTTTTCCCCTTGTTGCCAAAATAACCTATAGAAATCAATACAAAATTGTACCAAAAATTGCCAATTTTTCCTGTTTGTAATGAAAAAAAAAAACTACTAAGAAAATCAAAAGATTGCGGGAGTCATTTTTTGATACACCAATAAGATTAAAAAAAAAAAAAAATGTTACAAAAGTTTCTATACAATTTTTAATCGGGCTAAAATTTCTGATAGAAAAATTGTTTACAAACACAAAAAAATACAATAGTAATTCTCGCTTTGCTCCGAATCAAAAATTAATTTATGTAGGTACAATCCGATAATTCGTTAAATCAATGCGGTTATAAAATCGAGCGGCAAACTTGTACCGGTAGTTTTATTTGGTTTCCAATAGACACTATAATATTATGCTCTTCGATACCTTTTTTACTCCATACATTTATTTAAAAATAAAAACAAAATACAAATAAAATAGATAGTATATTATTAACTATTAATATTATGTATTTACTATAAAACTAAGTTAATTCGAATTTTAGACGTAAAATAAACACAATATAATAAAATTAAAACGACCAATTCGTATTTTTTATCTAGTCCAACCGCGACGCGATTATCACGTTATCCGTTTAACGTAAACAAATATGGAAAATTATCCTGATTTCGGTATCCGATACTGTATTAAACGCTAGGGAGTAACATTCGACGTTCGGTAAACTATTGCGATTTAATGATACAGCACAACATACAGATAGGTACGCTTTAAAGATCGTCAAAAACCGAAATCGACGAGCTAAATTAAATAAACTTTTCGCTATTATTGTTGTTATTTTTTCTCTTAGATGATACAAAATCATTAGAACCGCAATAAACTATATTTTACGAATGCACCTGACTACAGGTTATTAATCGTCTTCGAAAATGTGAAATCTAATCGATTTGTAATTATTATTATATTATATTATTAAACTGGCAAGGCTATCGCGCGGGTATTGCGTTATCGACGCCGCCGCCGCGCCGCGGTATTGTCGTGTGCGCGGGGACAAGCGAATCTGACCGATCGGCACGCAAAACCCGACGACCGTGGGGAAGGTTCCTAGTTTATTTTCATCCGGTCCGGTAGGTCGGGAACCGGGACACTAAAAGACTGAGCGCAACATAATATAATGTATAATAATGAAACATATTCGACAATAGGAATCGGGTCCAAAAACGCATGTACGCGCGGTCGAAACCGTGATATTTGAAAATAAACTGTATTCGAAAGTTTTTGAAACGTTAATATTTCCCTTCCGATTAACTTCTGTCGCTTTTTCTAGTGTTAGTTTTCGATTTCTAAAAATCGTTCGTTTTCTGAATCCGATTTTTAAATTGCCACTGCAGTCGCGAGTTGGTCGCAGAAGAATATCTTACGATTTGTTTTTAATTAATATTCGCGACTTCCGACTCCCGTCGAATATACCCGGGCACGCCACTGTATTTCCTTCAGCGATAATAATAATAATAATTATTGCAATACGTCCACGGTACAGGCAGGCACGTCGATTGCGGCACGCGCGCGTTTCGCGTCACCCGATCCGTCGTCTTCGTGTCGTGTAATAATTGCTGTCATACGACAATACCGCCGATACGTGTGCCGGTCTATACCGCGTATACCGCGTATACCCGGACCCCGGTTCGGTAGACAGGCAGCTACTGCAGCCGAGCCTCGGGACTCGCGGACGTCGTGTGTTTCGAAACGTTTCGCGGGGAAAACGGCCGGTCAATGCCGACCCGCGCATTGTGGTCCGGGGACCCGTTTGTCCGTCGTCGTCTTTGGACGCTGTCGTATTTTTTTTTTTTTATTTTCTTTTATTGTTCGCCCGGGTTTTAACCGCGATAAACAACCGTTAACAACCGTCGTCTAAACCGCCATAGAGCGCCGGAGAGACAAAAAACAATTCGGTACACGCCATCAACGGGTACGACGACGGTGACAACAGTCTGTTGCGCGCGCGGTACAAAACGAAAAATGCAAAACGCCGCGGGCAAATCGGACGTGTCGGAAAACGAATCGGCTTTTTTGACAGTACAAGGCTTTTATTCTTTTTTTTTTTTCCCCCGACAATTTCGAAACGTTTTTCGGTCGCGGTGTTCGCGCGTTTAATAGTATCTGTTCATATTGTTACTCGCATAATATACCTACCACCGTACACGCAGCGTAGTATTGTAAGTTATTCCCTACCTGTATTACCCACCTATTATGTGGAAAATCCGCGGCCGTCCGTTTCGTTAGGTAGTACTCGTACCCGTGCGCGTATAAATTTACAGGCAGTTACTATTATACAATGATAATAATATAATATCGCGTTTTTGTGATCGACGTTCAGTATAGGTGTACAGTGAAAGCTCCGCGGGGGGAATACGCCGCGGCGGCGGGGGACGAGCGGTTAGGTACATTATGTATATACGTACTGGTTTCGACGGCGAAACGAATAAAAAATAATAATAAAATGGCAATGTTCCATACAGGTTTCCGACGCGAATATAATTATTATATTATTGGATAATAATTTATATATTATGTTATATTGTCGTTGCGTCCGCGAGACGAGATCCGCTGCTACACCGGGGGCCGACGACGACGGACGTCCCATATTAATCGAGTACGTTGAAACGAATAAAAACCGTTTATCGTTTTGCGTATAATTGAATAGTGTTTTACGGAATTTCGAATCGTCGTTGATCGGCCGGTTCTAAATCTCTGGTCGTCACGCAGAGAACAGCATGTGTAGAGGACTAGCGTCGATTTTCTATCGTTTCGAATACGAGCGAATTAAATTTCGATTAAAATATACACGCAGATTTTTAAAAAATACGTACGCTTTGGATAAAAAAAAAATAAAGGGAATAACGGGATAATAATAACAATAATAAAGAAAAAAAAATACACCAAAAACTAACTTAAGTCCTTCTTTCCCGGGACCAAAGACATATCCGGAAATCCCAGACGGTCCGCGAAATCGACACCGCAATGGCAGTATTCGTTAACAGATTCGGAAAGATGGCCCGAAATACTCGAAAAAACTAACCTATGAATACAAGATACTATATTGATACCTCAATACAGACGTCTATATATATATTATATAAAATATACTTGCACAATTTTCGATAAGATTCTTTCTTGTTGACCTTAATAGATACCAGAGATAAGATACATGTACGTACATACGTAAAAATTGTAAAGGATGTTTAAATGTAAAAAATGTCGATATTATTTATTTTCAACAAAGTATCAAAAGTACATTAAATTGTTGTTACGGTTTTCAGTTAATAAAATTTAAAACTTGTTCGAATAGATTATATAAAATGTATTTTCATTTGTATGTGCACTGTTATATAGTCTCTTTACGGAGGAGGCAGATAAAAGATACAAGAAAGTAAAACGAATCTAAATGCACGATATAACACATGTACAAGTTGATGGATAGTCTAAAATGTTCTCCGTCCATGACGAAACTAACATAATATCAAAAATATAAATTAACGGCAACTATCCATAGTGAAAAGATTAGTGCAATATAGTTTTATTTGAAATTCAAATCATATTCACGTTTCACGTATTAGTATATGTATATTATTATTTAAAACACAAGCAAACAGTAAAACCGAATAAATAACAAATAATACTGCCGGCGTTTGTTTTTGTATTTTATTTTTGTAGTATCGGTAGAAGGCGTTTCCCATACGACCGTACATAATATCAAGTAGGTAGAAGTTTACTCGTCTACTTATTTTTGTAGGAGTTTATACACGACTAATACATTATACAGGGTTGGGCAGTATCTTCGTTGCAAGTATCTTAGATTCGATTGTATATTTTTTTTCGCCGCGATTTCTGGAAAATATCGGGTATTTATAAATATGAATATATCAAGTACTGCGATATTCAAACACAATGCATCTAATGTCGAATATCTATAAATACTAATTCCGAAGTATCGCGCCCATCTCTGAATATTTAACATTCACCGAGGAAAGCGATTCGCCGGTTAACTATAATATTATATCTTCGGTCCCGGGGAAGAAGTGCGAAAGTCAATTTCGTTTAGTTTTTAATACAGCCGAATCGATATAAAAACCTAACCGAAATAATATTCTTGGCATTTAGACCGAAATAAAAAAAAAGGGGGGAAATTACATATAGCACACAATTATAGAAAAATGAAATGCCAAAAAAATGATGTCGGTCCTTCTTCTCTGCAGAGGACCAAAGATACACGCCATGATGCGTATCTTTGTAGACGAAAATCGAAAAACTCGCTGCGATACCGACACTCGACCAACGTCAATGAGTGTGCATCGTGTGTCTGCGGAATAGTTTAGTAAAAAATTATATTAAATTTCGTTTCACGGAATCAAAACAAACATTATCGTCACCGTTAGCCGAGCCGCGCAATTCAGCGCACACCATTACTATTGTACCCGCGTTAACGATACAGTAGAATCGACGTGTCCGACAAATATTTCGAAAATTTGTTTTCTATTATTATTACCTATTTCTTTTTATTATTATCGTATTTTTTTAATCGCCGCGAACCATAGAGCGAACCGGTCGCGTTATCGTTTCCTGTTTAGTGCCTAACGCACATTATGCAGTGCCTAGCTAGGTAACAATGCTACTATTATTATTATTATGCTTGTACTACTTCTGCGGCGGCGTCCATCTCGGTAACGAACCGTTCATTTTATCTCGTTATATACCTACCTGTATACATATTATTGGGTGTTATTATTCCAGCTGCAGTAGGTAAGAATGGCAAATATTTTTTTTTTTTTTTTTTTTTTTTTTATTTACGAACCAGAACTAATCCGTGACGGGCGTCCTTCGAAAGTCAAAATATTATAAAATAATAATAATTCCGAAATGTACGAACGCGAACGAAAATCACACCGACTAAATAAGTACCTATCTATAGTTATACAAATATAATAATAGGTAGTATTACAGTACTCGTATTTTCGGCTTTAATTGCAATTATAAAAATAATAAAAGCGAGTTTTCGCGAGTTTAAAATATAATAATAATATTTAAAATTGTCAAAACCATCACGACCGAACGGTCTCTGATTTTTCGAATCAAGAATTCCGATTTTCTGAATCGAAAAAAATATGCGCAAACGTTATACCCGTCGGTTGACGGTTTCCGAATATAATACGACAACATACGATTTATTATTATCTGCAGTAAAATGATGGACGGACCTTATTTTATTATTGAACCGAATTCGTTATTAATTTTGGGCGTATAGTTTTGTAGAGAATTTAGAGCTTTATATTTCAGACCGGTCCATATATTTCGATAAAACCATAGTTTTCGAGTTATAAATGAAAAACTCCGATTTTAGAGCTGTTTTTTCAAGACGGAGGAGGCTTTTTTTACGGTTTTATTTTATTTTGTTTTTTTTTTTTTGGAGGGGGGGGGCGTTTATAGTGTAATTCCGGGCGGCTATATAAATCACGTGTTTGGGATCGGACCCGACGAGTATCACCGGGTTTTCCGGCCAATCGGATCGTGATAATAATAACAGTAATATATATCATCACTCGGCGCCTATAGTATTGTACCCTCGGGGGTTTCTGTGCGCCGTCACGCGCGAATTTATACAGTCGCGTGCCCGTTTGTAAAACGACCATAATAATAATAATAATAATAATAACAACAACATTATACTTACTGTACCTACTCGACAATAATAATTAACAGAATATAATTTGCGGCCGTGACACACACACGGTAAATAACTCGTTACGAAACGCCCGGCGTACGACCGTCCGGGCCGTTTCGTCGTCTGCTCATCCACGCGAACGCGCCCGGTCCAAGGCTGTTTTTCTTCGCCGTCGTTGAACCGGGCTAAACAGTTTTTGGACATTGTCCGACGGAGTTGGCTCGATACGACACGCCGACGTTGTATAACAACGAGAATCGAAAACGCCAAACCGACACGGCGGTTGTGCGGGCTATGTATAGGAAAAGGAGGGTGACGGACGGGCTTTCATCCCTGGGGCCGGATTAAGCCCGAGTACGGCTCTAATAGGCACGCACGTATGGTGTATTATTTGAATAGCACTTTTTAATGTCGCCTAATGAGACCTTTCGGTATTTATGTTCTGAACACATTATGTCATACTGACTGACTTGAGCCATTTAGAAAACCATTTTTACGTTGAGCCGTTAGTAGATATTTATGCGCCGTTACGTTATTTAGCGATTTTCAAAATTCGATTTTCTTTTATTGATAGCTTATAAGTATGGAAACTATGCAAAATCGACTTGAACCTTTCTTTCTTGGGACCGAAAAAGTAATATTATTGTAATCAGTCAGATAGTACAGTAAAATTTCCATACAACGGTCATCGAAGGGTCCGGAAATAATGACCGCTATTTAGAGGGGACTGTTCTTATTAGAAGTTTCCTATAAAAGCATAACACTTGACAGGACCAAAAAAAATGACTGTTACACAGAATTTACCGTCTTTTAGAGGTGGCCGTTAACTGAAGTTTTACTGTAATAATATTGTTGAATGTAAATATTAAACACATCATAGTATTCGTTTTTGTCGTGTTTGTCCTATTCAGTAGCGAATTTAAGGGGGGGGGAGGTTAGAAAGATTTATCACCCTTATCACTTAGAAGGTTAGATTTTATTACCTAAACAGTAAATAAGCTTGGATTTTAAAGACGATTTAACGGCAGACATAAAGTTACGTAAATACATAAATTCAATTTTTTTTCTAGCCTCAGGTTTGTATTATGGCTACATAATATGACACAATTTTCAAATTCAATACTCCCTCCTTATTGGTAAAATCCTAAATACGTCGCTGACCGTATTTCAAGTACACGAATACCATCGGTATAAGTACGACGCATGCGTTTATAAATATGATTCGATTATTTTTCACGTTTACTTATCCTGCAACTACCGATCATTAGCCTTTTTTTAACAATTTAAATTAGCATGCGTGCAGCCGAATGTATTACAATAATATAATATTTTTATCTACGGAAATATTTAGAAAAAAAAAAAACACGAATTGTTGTTACACAATAATAGACGTCGCTATACAGGCGCATGAAGTAGTTATCCTTTATTTTTTATTGAGAGGGCGAGTCCAATAATACATCTATGAAGAATATTGCGCGTTGACCGATTAAGAAATTTACATAATTTTTTTATTTTAAAGTCGCGCGATATTTATGTATATTTTGAAAAAAAAAAACACAGCCATTAATTCTACGGAGTTTATGATGGTATTAATTTCGATATTATAAAAAACGCGTTTAACCGTATTTCCTGTACACGACTACATGTATATAAACATAATTTTTTCCGTGAAACAACCTCTTATTATTACAAAACACATTTAACGCTTTTATAAAACAGTTCGTTTGTTCCTTTTTATCGGATTTTCACTAAAAATAAAGACTATCGGTGCGATGTAGTGCGTATACATTTACCACTACTTTCGGACACTTATAAAAGTTCCCTCAGGACCGATTCGCCTCTAATTAGACAATTAGAATTGTTTTATAGGCTAATCGAACCGATACGATTTCGGTTCGATTTAACCGTGATATTACGGAAGGAGGGAATTTGTTCGGTCATTTATTATTTTGCAAATACTATGATACTATATGACTATAATAGCGGTACGGAGCTTCGCTGCATACGCGTGTTTTTTGATTTTTCGGCGGTTTTTCATTTGACCGCATTCAAGACCGAAAATTAAAGTCCGGATTATATAATATATTATTTTAACGTGTTATCGTGCAGTCCCAAAGGACTCGTATGTACCGTCGATTGATCGCCATGAGATTCTTCGACGCGTTGGTTTTTTATTTTATGTAATCGGCTTTAAAAATATATTTTTCTCTGATATAAATCGTAATTTTTTTTTTTTTTACGGTCTCGTAAACGTTAGTTTTTACGTGATTTATGGCACAAAACGTATATTTTTATTTCTAATAATATAATATTATACTCGTATATTATTATTTATAAAATATATTGAATACACGCCCTGCTATTTACGGGATGGCAAATGCATGCAGTGAGTTCTTCCTGGTTTCGGACTTATACGGCACTCACGGTAGGGGGTAACCTGAGTTATCGATAAAACGCAGAAAAACGAAAGAAAAAACAATCAATCTATGTCCGTGCGACGATTCTGTAATCAGTTGGATCAACTGAAACCATCATTGCATACATCTTCTCATATTTCTCCAATTATCAAGAAAACTACAAGGAAAATCTACTCAATTAGACATGCTCCAACTAGAAAACATATACTACCGGAAATCATCCTTTAGGGCTTTAAGTATAACCATACTTTAGAGTGTAATAAGGTTTCTTATAGAGAAGTTGTTCACAGATATAAAACATTAATTAAAAAAAAGTACAAATCATATTATAGGTAGTAAAACCAACACATTTTTTTCTTCGCTCAGAAAAATAATCTTTTAGCCAAGATTCGTCCGTAATCGTTTTTCTCTCTCAGTGGTCTGGGGAACCCAGATGGTCACAGCACCGACTTCGACGCGAGACATAGAGACTTTTAAAACGCAATAAAACAGATTAAGTCCGGATTTTTAAATTTCAGTTTCTACGCTTGAATTTTGAATTTTATGTCGATTACTTCAGATTTCCACGCGGTACAGAGTATACGTGTGCGACAAAAATTCGCTTTTTTACTAGTCTCGCGCTCAATCTGACGAAGACGTTTCCCAGCCGTTTCCTTGTCGTTTTCGAAAACTCCCTGACCCATTTATTATATTTGTCATAATAATATATTCTGGGCGTGCCATATAATATTATTATAATTATTTGTCGCTCGTAACATTATGACGATGACACGTTCGACTGTATTTCATATTAACAAAGTATTTCGTTATAATCTTATATAATATTAGTCGTGATCGATTCGCTCGAGCAATCATACGACGGGTTCGTCCAGTGGTATGCGCTGGGGGAGGTTAGGGGTAACCTAACCTACTCGCATTTATTTATTATACTTAATTAGCCAAGTTAAAATAAAATAAAACTTGATTTATTGATTAAAAATTGAATTTTCGGCTTTTGAATATTCCCAAATTAAGCAAATTGGGTAGAGAAGAAGAGTCTACGGTGATATTTAGGAATTAATTATTCCCTCCCATTGAAATTTATTGGACACGCTACTAGATTCGTATATAATAATATTTATATTCTATATTAATATACATATAAGTAAAACTTCATTTTAACCTCGATTCATCAAATCAATTAACGAACGTGCGAATACCTGTTTCAGTCTAACCGAGCAGTCAATAATTCATTGTATTCACTCATTTAGAAATAGTTTCTACTTTGGGCCATTTTTAGCGATGCGTATTTGTGTCATGATTGCCAATAGAATCATAAATGAACACATTTGTTGTATTTATTTCAGTGCTTCAGTTTATTGAGAACGTTTAGTTAAATCGCTTCGTTTTGAACGAACCTTGTGGACGATTCGTTATGTACAAAAAATACCTTCGGCCGAATTTAATCAGTCTAAATAAACTGCAGTATTACAGACACGCGCGAACTCCGCCTTCCCCGCTTAAAATATATAATATTATTATAAACGAGAACACCACACTATACGTCGTGCAAAAACATACAGGTTCAGTGTTTACAATGTATAATACAATATTATACTCGTTATGATACATATATAACATAATATATGCCGTAAACGCGAATAGTAACAATAAATACTCGGCGTGTTTTCTACTTTCGTTTTTGGCGACAAACGGATTGTCGCCTACGTATTTTCAATTAAATTTTTACTACAATACTCGCACATAAACGTAGGAAATGCCCAAGACGGAAAATGTTACGTGAACAGTTTTCTATACGCGGCACCGTCGCGAGTTTTTGACGATTTTCCTGTATTGAACGTCTCTGTATAATATTACGATATAGGTAAACGTGTTCCGTGCAATATTATTGTACTCTCGTATCTTTATATTATATACGTTGTATATTTTTACTTTCCGAATTCATTTATGTATGTATATTATAATGTACTTCGGATTATGAAATCTAATAATAAATCAATGAAATGATCCCCTCCCCAGAGACGTAATTACGGTTTTTAGTACGTAGGTACCTGATGGGTGGCGAAACGAACGCAGTCTATGAAAAGCGGTCGCTTCTCGATTTTATTTTAGATTTAAGCTGGTGCTTAATACAAAAATAATTAAACGTCGATACCCCGTTTACTACTAATTTAGTAAAAAATAGGTAATGGGAAATATTGATGGGTGAATATTAGGTTGGTTATAATATTTGTTTTAGGAATACGTTCGCTACTGCACCCACACGATATAATAATGTGTAAAAATCATCTCGCTATATCCTCTTATTGCATGTTTATTTGGAAATCTTGAACTTTGAAAACTGACTTATCATCTTCATCAGTCCCCGTAAATACGCCACTAATTCCTCTCCCCCCAACACGACAATTTCTTTTTCAAAATAACATATTATTTGTTACAAAATGTTGAAAAATCAGCCTCCTACCACTCCTGCCCACAAAATCATTTCACCGCCATCACTAACATCGTCTATGCTCGATTTAAAAACACACGTATAATATCTGATAAAACCGTATAATATTATCGCGATTGAAACTCGCGCAATTTTCACGATTTTTTTGCGATCGTAACAACGAGCGACTATATAATTATAATTTGTTGTTAAATCGTGCGCTCCAATCGCGTGTACCTGCCGACCGCGTGCCGTACGTGAAGTCCGTACGTAACACGCGCGCGCGCGTTAAAATAATAAAATGTTATTTATTACCCATCTATACATACGTGTAAAACTACTTAGGTATACTTATTACGCTCATGTTGCCCGCGAATAAGTCATAAATGTAACGAGTTCGTTGATAATCGTATACAATATGCGGCGGCGGCGAAATCGGATCGGCGAAAGTGTCGAGATCACAAGAGATTTCCGGCAGAAGAGCAAAACCGCGGGCGCGGCTCTATACTTGGCGATTTTATCATCGCAATCAGTTGAAAATTACGTAAAGTCTCGTTACGCATAATAATAATAATGTGTCTACCTGTATTTTTTTTTTCTTTACGCGCGTTCGTCTAAAACGCAACTCGTTTGCGTATGTATACACATTTTTTTTTTGGAACGTTATAGAAACCGTTTTTCCATAAAAAAAAAAAATAATAATAAAAACAATAGCAGTTTAAATTCTGGGCATAGGGGTGCGCGTAAGTAAATCGCGAGTTCGTTATGTAATATAATATAATTCATTTTTTTAAGTAGAAATGTTGAACAAAACCAAAAAAGAGAAGGTTAAATAATAAAACACACTCGCTAAATTATTTACTGAACTGGTCTTGTATTTAATTTATCACGTTGTACAACTTAACGATGTAAACAACGGCGAGAATCGAGGAATGTACAAAATAACGTGCAGTCTACAGTGTTATAAACTGCAGTACTTTGCTCGCTCGTACTTTTCGTATTTCCCAAACTGATTCAGCACTTTACACACCTAACTGCTGTATAACACGCAGCGGTATTATAATAATTATGAAGTGCAGTTACCTACATAAATCATTCCGGGGAGGTAATCAATAGAGAACTTGTAGCGTTCAGATCGAACGGACGCGAGAACGATTAAAAACGGAACGTCGACGATGATTAGCCGAAAAGATTGAAAATTGATTTTGTTTGTTATTTCTTTTGCCAGAGATAAAAATACGGGAACATAAATATTGTTTTAATGATATTAAACGCGTTAATATTCGCCGTCCCGAACGATTTTCCGTTTTGTTTATCACCTCTGTGATTGGTTAATACGAACAAAATGATCGGTAACCGCGTACGGACGTTGTCGGCGACGGAGTCACCCGCACACCAATAATCCAGCCGCGCGCTTATACCGGGGAGACTGTTTTGCAATCGTCGCGCGTGGGAGGGCTGACCTTTGGAATTTACGCCGCGGCGACGTATTTATACACCGGTAGGTACTATAACCCGTGTTACAGTCTTGTAGATGGGCTGCAGGTTAATACCGGTATTCGTATCGGTATACCGCGGGGTCGGTATGTTGTTAACACGATGGCGGTAACGCCTTCGAAAGCGCCGCCACCGCTGTGTCCGGAGAGCGGGGGCGCGGGCGCCGCCGCAGCGAACACGTGTAACGGACAGGTGAAAAAAAAAAGTGTAAACAAAACGGACAAGACGAATGGAAAGAAAGATAAAAAAAAAAAACCTATCGTTACGTCGGATTCTACCGGGGTTCGGTTTTTTTGCACAACTCCCGCGCGACCGGTAATATTGCGTGGAGCCTACGCGAAACCTAACCATTGCGTTTCGCGCTGTATTACTATTATGTAGGCATCGAGTTACACCCACAATTTATTGTAATTTAAAATATTATTACTAAGGCCCGGGATCCCAGTGAAAATTACGTCTTTTTTCGAGTGGTATTTAGACAATGTTTTCCGAGTACATGATTCGATTCGCGTAACAGAGGTGTAACTTTTATTTTTTCAACGTTTTTTTCTTAGCATTTTCCGGTCATTTCTTTTTCTTTTTCTATTTCATATCCGTACAATATTTAATACAGTATTTGTACATAATACGACCTAATAGTTTAAATTTACCCAATTCAAAATATTACCCATGTTTTTCGGGGTTTTCAGTCAATCGGTCAAATGCAGCGTTTTTTGTTTTTTTTTTTTTTTTTTATGGCATTTTTCGACGATTTTCAGTGCATTTGATTCCAGGCTCTAATTATTAAAACGAAAATTACCGTACCCACCGCGATAATCCGGTAGTGCGTACTTAATAAACATTATTATATTATATCACTATAATATAATTATAATATTATGGGCGTATTATTATAGCAATAATATAAAACGGCCACCGAATTTCCTCGTTTTGTGGCGTTATTGTTGATATCGGCAGTATAGATATTGTAAATTACACGCGCATTTCATCGGAAAATTTAATAAGAAAAAAAAAAACAAACGAGTTTAGATCGATTTCCGCGGACGATAATCGATTATTCACGTCTCATAATGTCATACCAATACAATATACGACGGCGATGCGATTACGGATGTCTGATTATTAGGTTACACATTTTATAAAGCTAGGTGAATATGTCGACGAAAATTTCATACACTAAAAAGTAAAAATCAGTTGACCGCGAATAGCAAACACGGACGAAATCCATACTGCAGACCACGCTGTCCCGTTTTTTCATTACGTCTTTCGCACGACGGGATCACATATCCGGTTAGGGGCGACCAACCGAGAGGGAAAACAAATCGACCGACGGGTCATAATATATTATTATCACGGTAACTATAGATTCAAAATCCCGAACCGCAAAACCTCCGGAACATTGACGATCAGAACAAGTCTTCTGCGGCTCGAAAAATCGCGTTCGCATCATCCGCAGTGACGTATTAACGAGAGCTGGAGGGGGGGGGGGGGTTGACGAATTAACGCAATTTAAACGGCTAAGTCAATTCATGAAAATCGTGTCAAGCCCATTAAGAAGTTGAATGCCCTGGGGGAGAGCATGATCGCAAACCCCTACTCTCCCCCAATAAATACGCCACTGCGCATCGTAAATCAAAGTTTCTATAGTAAAACCGTACACGTTTCTCGCCCCGGCCAACAATCTAAATTCATTTATTTTTAAGTAAAATTTTATTTCAGTATCGATATTTTTTTTATGATCATAATGTGCACGACGTCTCCAAAACGGAGGCGGTGCGACCATTTAATCACGATTTACTACAACATTTGCCTAACGTTTGCTTTCAGGTGTTGATCGTATTGTGCGCCGTCCTCTGCCACCTGATGATCGCGTCGGCTCAGTTCGACTTCGGCGAGTTTCTGGCCAACGCCGAAGAAGCACCGACCCGCGACCCGAGACAAAACCGAGGCGAGTCGACAAGGGATTGAGACACATGACGAACTTTTCGAACTAACGGTTTTCCTTTTTTTTTTTTCACGTAGGACCCGTCGTGTTTCCCGTCACACAACCCGGTTCGGAGACGAGCGGCGTAGTAGTGGGTGCTTCCGGATTCGGATTCGTACCGCCCGGCGGCAACAAACGTAAGTGTTGAGGCGCCTTTGCGTAAATACCTATAGCCGTTGTAATGGTGCAACACGGATTTATGCGGAAGTCTAAAATTATGTATGCGGTCGATAAAAAATATGGGTTGTACCCGTGGTTAAAATACACGAGGTCATTGCATATATAATATACCCCATCTCAATAAAATATATTTGACGATAAAAACAAAAATGACAGCGTAAAGGGAGCCGATAATAATCAGCTATATTTACATTTTTTTTTTCATAGTAAAGACAATTAATATTTACGATATCCCTTTACGCGGCCATTCTGATCTCTATATTGATAACAATCCGAGTATATATGCAATAACGTTGTATATTTCGACCATCGGTCGAACCGTTGAACCACGATTTCCGTATCGCCTTTATAGTCTTGCAATTCTACGGACTAGCAGTCGATGTAAAGGCGCCTTTTGGGATTTGGGTTGGCGGTTTTTTTCCACCGCGGTATACGGTCACGTCTGTAATACAAGTACCGTGCGTAGTTCGGTAATCGGCTTTTAATCGGTCGGTTTTTCACGTTTAAACGACCCGGGACTATTAATAATAGGTATACGGAATATTATTAGTTTGCCGAGGTATTCCTCACGGACGTGCGATATCTGCGTCGTCGTAACGTATAACGTCATTACCGAACATTGCGATATTTCATTTACGATCGGTCGATTATCGGCGCGTTGTGAAAACGGTTTTCACGGACAGAGTAAACAAGCGCTCGAAATCACAAAAGAAGTTTATGTATGGTAGAATTTTTTTTAAAGGGACAATAGCCAATTCTCATTTCAGATTTCGAGCGTAGAGAGGGGAGCTATGGATTTTACAATGCTGTTTATTTTTTTTTTCCTAGTAAACTTGCTCCGATGTATGAGTGTAGCAACTTTTCTGAAAGCTAAAGAGTTGTCTAGATGGTACTTTAGAAAGGTCATTATTTGATTTTCGATACCATTTACCAGAAAAAATGATTTACTCGAAAAATCACTAGATACTTTTTTTGATTTACTTTCTTACAGTATCATCGCTAAAACTTTTAAGCCACTTTTGAGTTTTTAAGGAATTTTAATATTTGGGAATTTTTTTACTGTAATTCGGTTATAAATACACGTAGAAGTTTAAAACTTGATAATATTGCTTATATTGGACATATCTAGACGTAGTAAAATTTCCAATATCATTGGACGATTTTTTTTTTTTTTTTAATAAGCTTTTGAAATCAAATTTAAACCAAAATCGGCAAAAAAATATTACGGCACTTCAAATTATACCAACAATTATACCAATAATAATATCAACTAATGGTTTATCGTTTTATCGTTGTCTACAGATATAAATGAAATAACCTTATGTATCCTACCTTCCCAATTTCTCATTTACAACAGTGGCCGCTCCCGTCCCCAGTATCAGCCCTTTTTTTTTTTCTGTTGTAATACGAAAAACAAAAATCTTCCCGTAGAAATCCGTCTTACCGAATCGGAACCGAGTCAAAAGGGTAAACCGCGAATAGGAATGGTCGAAATTCGGAGATTCTAAAGCACGCGCGATAGATTTCAGTCCGTCTCGCGGTCGGGTCGGTCGGTCCGGTCGGACCTAGACCCGTCAGAAGCGATATTAAATAGATTCGATGTAAAGGGGGACTCGATCCGGCCGGTACGGGTGTCATCGCGAATCGTAAGAAACCTCGAAGAAACATTCCCCGAATAGCTGCTCCGGCCGGTCTGCGGAGAGCTGCGGTCCGACGGCGCGCGGCGCCGCTAGTCGCTGTCCAGAAGTTGTTAGGCGCGCGGAAATCGGCCGGACGTTCATAATGCCGTATATTGTTATAATATACGGGTGTAACGGCGCGACGCGGATTGTTCGGATAGTTTGGACCTTTGCGAATATATATTATAACGCGCGGCGCAGTGCATTATAACGTAGTTATTGGCTCGTCTCGGCGGCGTAATTACGAGAGTTCGGGGACGGGATCGCCCGGCGGAGGAATGCGGCTGCCACTGTGTGCGATGCGGCGGGAAATCATCGCCCTTTCGTTGGCCGCCGCCGGTGTGTTTGGGTCTTCGGCGAGCGGTGTCTGGGGAAAGGGTCGCGGAGGTTAATTTAGACAGACGATGCCCGCGCGCGAACTCAAAGGGCGCGGGAGCGTTGTGCAGCGATAATACGTCCGACCGCGAGGAGCCGCGCGCCGACTGCGCCGATAAGTCGTCTTTTGCGGACGTCATTGAACGCCGTAATATATATATGATATCTACACGTATATGCGTACAATAACGTGGCGTAGATCACGAGAAACACGTATTTCGGACTCGCGGGGTAACGGCTGCGGCTCCTTTGTACACGGGCCGGGGCTGAGACGCTAATGAAGACGAAACGCGGAGAGCGAGAGAGAGAGCGAGAGAGAGGCGGAGAGAGTGACGCGACGAGTGTATCACAATAATACTCGCCGGTTATTAACCGGGTTCGGGTTGTAGTAATAATAATAATAATAATAATAATAATAATAATAATATCATGACGGGAATATTCCGCTGCTGCGGGGAGACACTTCAAAGCCGAAACATCGGCCCGGCTCTGTATGCGGTGCACCGAATACAGAAGAGTAGGTACTGCGGGCGGTTCACGCGCGGTCTCTGCAGTGTACATTTCCCCGTTATTACAATATAAATATTATCCGGCAATAATATTCGGATACCTCCCCTGGCCGCCCCGTTGCGGTTTCGACGTTTACCGCCGCATCGTAATTATTATACTGCAGGGTACCCGACGCCGCCGCCGCGCGGGATTTTCCACGTCCCGCGTTCTACGCGCCCGGGAACGCATCGAAATTGCCGGAATCCCGTTTACCCGCGATTAAGTATACACTAATATTAAATTTTCGGTTATCTTTTTGCCAATATCGGACGGACGATACGTGTTGTTCCCGCGGGTCCTATACAAGTTAGGTACATCGAAATGAGAAGTATGGGAAAAGTGGTACATTCCCACGGCGCCGAATCCCATTTTGCCGACAACGCTTTCTTTTGCTAATACTCGTGACGTACGTTGCTTGAAGTACATCTACTCACGACTCCAATCCACTATAGCTCATGTTAAAACAACTTGTTTTCGACGTCTTTTTTGCGGGGATTACACTAGTTCTCTTAAATTGTCAATCTGCCAGAATTAAATTAGTATTGTTAGAGTTCGATTAGAACCCTTTGAAAAAAGTGATAAAATTTAAACCTCTCCAAGCGATTAAAACACAGAAGAAATAACCACTATCCCGAAATTATCTTCTGGTACCGTAGATATTCGTACGAGATGTGCATGCCTACAAAAATCTGTTTATGATAATACCTATATTACCCAAAGTAATTGTTGTGATTACTGAAAATCGTAATTGTATACATTATATTGTTATAGTAAACGTTTATAACAGATATTTCGTTTTGTTTTTTTTTTCCAGGACCACAACCCCAGAACTTCTTCAGTTTCTGGTAAAAGAATAAGAGGTCTTGTGAAATTTTCCACCGTCACAATCAATCGCTCGAGTTTCCTACGCACCTTTTACCCCTCCCCCTACCCGCTCGTCGTCAACGGAGAGTAGGGAACACAATAATAATATTATAACATTACAATAATTATTGTATAGCGAACAAGATCACCCATTCTCCCATCCAATTTTGCCCGATAATTAAAATACGACGAGAAATAAAAAAATATACATATATTTATTATTTATCGATGTAATACGTTTCAAATAGTAATAACAATAATAATATCATTGGCCCGACGTTGTATGTGTATAAGATATATTTATTTTTATTATCGTATTATCAAAACACCGTGCAGCGATATCGTGCGCACGATTTTCTGCACGACGTGTAAACTGATACAATAATATTATCATACCTCACTCTACTCTAAAATAATTTGTATAAACTCGGGTTTTTTTTTTTTTTTTAATTTATTTTTATTACTTTGTACAAGTCCTTATTATACCTAATAATTTATTGTATACGGTACTATATTTGTATACGTTATTAATATTATTGCTTATTAGCGTTTACATACATAGGTATACAGCCGTTTTAGCCAATAGTCAGTTACCAATATTTTATTATTATTATATAAGATAATATAGATACCATAAATAATATTATAATAAAAACTATTATGATAATATTGTATATTATAATTATAGTTTAAGATTATTATTATTATTTGTATATGTATTCGTGCGGTTTTACGTAAAAAATATCCGCGACAATAATTGTAATTTTCGTGTACGATGATAAAACAAATATAAATAAATCACGTACCGACGAAAGAATGATTTTATTGCAATAAAGTGAACTATATTATTATATACTCTTTCATTCGTAAATTTATTGCCACATTGTCCAGTCTAAAAGTGGAGTTCTGTCACTTTATTGTTAAACTACCCCCGGTCGTGTCTTATTGTCATTACCTAATTCGAGTGTACAGGTATGCGGTATACCTATATAGAATGGCGGAATTCTGCAGTCTACACAGTGGCGTATATAGAAATTTATTTAGGGGGTTTATAAAAAAAGTTTTTAGGTTTTAGTTAATACACAGATTAAATAAATTCATAAATACGTACGTGTGCCGTACCAACCAAATATTTCGGGGGGGGGGATGTTTGAACTCCCAAAACCCTCCCCTATATACGTCGCTGAGTCTACATACTTATTACTCATAGTTTTAATTGATGTTAAAAACCCGGTATTTCCAGTAAAAACGTAAAATTTGATCATACTGATAACTGGAGTTGAAAATTGAAACCCCCAAAAGGCACATCCTTGATACTAATACCATCATGCATAAAACAAATTACATCTCTTGGTTTCATTTGTGAAGGGGTGTTCAAAGCTAAAAATCACCGTCTTTCTGCAACAACACGGATGATTTTTCGTATTTTCAAATTAAGCTCTATAATTTTTATCACTTCAGCCCACAGATCTATGATTTTAATGTTTGACAAATTAAAAACACGAAGTAGATAACAACTAACAATAATTGTGTTAATCGTGTTTATTACTCCATAATTATTATTTCGAGATGTAGTCTATCTCTCTCACTGCATGTAGATATTTAGTTTTATATGATTACACATACGTAAGAAAACATAAACAAATAAATTTACGGCAATAAAAATTGTATCCTTTTTTATATTGTTTTTCCACCAGAAGTTAGCTCCGAATTTCAGGTGTAACATCTTTTCTAAGACATATATATACTATATACTTCATAAACCACATTACCACAAAAATATCGAATTCAGTTTTGGCATGAAAATAATTAAATTAAAAAGAGCTGATACTAGAGACAGGTGTGCCAAACAAATTATTATATTATCTGTAAGTAATGATTGTAACCATTGCTAATGAAAAACAATTTTTATTAAAACTCTTGTAAAAAATTCTACATGACACTCAATTTTTTTATTTTTATTTTTACCACTAAATTCGACTTATAATAAATCTTATAATATTTTTTTAATAATTCTATCCACAGAATACCATAAAATTACGTAAAAGAACGTCACGAATTTATAAAATCTATAAATAGTTTAAATTTTTTGAAAAATACCAAGTTTAAAAAAATCAAATATAAGTTTTTTTCCAGAATCTCAAGTCTCCACGAATATTTTTAACTGAATTACAAAAAAAAAAACCGAAATTGAAAATAATAAAACCTTTATTTTTGTAAATTTGCCCGTTTTTTCTACGTTTTTTTTTTCATGCTCACTTATTAAAACAAATATAAAGAAAATCAAAAAAAAAAAAAAAAGACTTTCTTGTTCACCAAATACATTAAAAATTCAATAAAAAGGTCTCGTGCCGTTTTTCTATTGGAGGAATATTTTTGATAATGAAATCGGTAATATCGCGGCGTAAATATTTGCCGTTTTTCCGATAATTTTTGTTCCAGTTTTTCTCAATTATTATGAAAACCCCTCGAAAATTCAAACAATATTCTTATCGATACACCAACCAGATAAATTTTCTTTTCAGAAAAAGCGCTACACTTGATACGTCGAAGCAAGGTTTTTGGCAAAAAAGTTGCTCACACACAGAAAAAAAAAAAAAAAACTAATTGATCCCTCGCTACGCTCCGAATCTCAAAAAACAGAAGCATGGAGAAAAATTAAAATCTGCTTATAAACGCGAATTTTGTTGTAGAGATAATATTGTGATGTGCGTGCAAAAAGATTTCATAGATTAAAAATCAATGATTTCTCCACCAAAAAATCATTCAGTATTTACAACACACGATATTATTTCGAAATCGTATTATTATTTATTTATATTCATTAATGTAATGAAGAAGAAAACGTAGAAATCCATAATATAAGCGATAATTATCGTTTTCTGAAATATAATGTTAAATTTTTTAAAATATATACGAGTGTATTGAATATTTACAGAAAATACGAAAAAACGCAGGTATACAACACGATGTCCTCGAAAATCGAAGATTTTAATGGCGATTTATGAGTGGATGATGTTTTAGCTGCAGTCGTTATTTTGTTTTACCTCCGTAAAAAAATGGAAGGACAAAAGCAACCGTTGGAACGTCTGACGTAAAAAATTCCGTTCACCGTCGGTCGTTATGTTTTACTCGTCTTCGAATTATAAACGTTTCCGCACGACGACGAAATGTCCGACCACAATAATTACAATCATATAAATTTATACTGTAAGATAGTAGATACCGATTTCGGTGTTGATATTTTAGTTTTTTCACAATAGCATTGACGTGTTCGGCAATTTCATACGCGGGGAGTTGAAGGATTTGAATATAACTATAGTAATATGAAAACATAAGTAAAAAATTTTGTATTTTATAAGTACAAAATCATCAAACATAATATTTTCAGATAGAAATCGCTGTACTACAATACTTACCTCGTTTAAACAACACATCGTCTATTATTTCATTTGTTAATAATAAAACATACAATGTATTGTAATAAAGTAGAATAATGAGTCAATAAACTATTATTTTGTATTGAAAATTTATCTGCACATTATATTTTAATAATATTTTAGGAAGAACTGCTCAATGTTGTTTTATATATTTATAAAAACCGCCGATTAGCATTTGCGCATCGACATATCGAACAATAGAAGGGTACAACAATTTTACAATACATTAACAATAAAAAATAAATTTCAAACTTAATTCGAGTTTAAGACTAAACCAAGTTTAAGTTTAACAGCATTAAACATAATAATATTATAAATCAACCAGTCAAAAAGAATTGTCTGAAAGTTTGTAAAAATTGTCAAAATCGTCTAAATAAATTATAATAAGTACAATAATAGTACATAATATAGTTTCTATACAGCTATAATGCATACCTACTGCATATTTATACACAGTATTATCACGGTACATATTATATACTTTTAAACAGAATACCCACGCAATATTTGAAGGTTCCCTATTATATAAGAGTAAAATTAGTGATACTGATGTACGTAAAATTTAACTTGAAAATCAGAAAAACAACTCGTGATTTTGGGCACTTTTAATTTTGTACAGTTCTGTTGTTAAATATTCTGATGCTCAAATGATGCACGACCATTTGACGTATGGTGTACGATCGATAATCAAGCGATGCATAATCCATAATCAAACGATATATGCAACTGTGTTACAAGAAAAGGTCAAAACGAACAATAGTGATGCGCAAATGATCTACGGCCGTGAAAACCGACAACAAATATCAATACACCGGTTTTCTACAAAACCTATAAAATACAAGATGTATATACAGAGAACTGACATCTTCAATAAACAACGACGTACGACAGCTCTAAACCGGATTTTAAAATTTCAATTTCTATTATATTATATAAATTATGGATGCTTGCTACTGATTGCTCACACTTGAATACATTTTGGACTTTTTTTTTTAATTACTAGGTTGTCTTGGTCTTCCTTAGATACGGTATACAGTTCACAGAGCTCCATTAATCAGAATCGTTTTTTGTTTACAATGATTTATTGATTCAGTGTAAGCAAATTATAAATGACCTAATAATATATCCACTTAACCAAATTCCCATATACTGGTAGTAAACGCTGTTTGCTTTCAAATTTAAAAAAAAAAATCCTAGGATAATGGATACGGGTGTAGCCATTATTATAGGTAATTTAATGTATACCTGTAAGCAACGATAAACAATTGCTTACGAAAAAACGATTCTGAGCGGAGTTCAGTTGACAGTGATGCTTTGTCAACAATATATATATATATAATTTTATAGTAAAATAATTAAATAGACTTTATATATTTTCTTTAATAATATTTGTTTAATGTTGTACCGATTTTCCTAGTTTTCCTATGGTTTATCCCGGTTCTTCAAATTTGACGAGAAAACTCCTGAAAAAGTCGAAAAATTACTATCTTAAAGTACCTCCCCACACCGATTTCATTTCAAAAAAGATGCTAAACTTAGAAATCTGAGCAAGTCTTCGGATAGAAAAGTTGTTAACAGATATAAAAAAAAAAATAATAATAATAATAAAAATCTTTGTAAAACCATAAGCAAAGAAGCTCCACTCAAAATCTAAAAAAGATTTATACTGCTGATACCACTGTTTTAGAGGAAAGTTGAAAGGAAGAATATATAAAATAATTTAATTTATGTCTGTACGCAACGATAAACAATTTCTAACGAAAACTGATTTTGAGCGGAGTATTATTAATCGCACTTTTTCCTTGTTATTAAGGTAACCCAGAAATCGACAAAAATTATAAAAAAAACATGTCCATAGTGTTTCCCATTTATTAAGAAAACTACTAAAAAGATAAAAACAATTACCTCGTAAATGCACCACCCAAATGATAAATTCTGCAAGAAAGTTACTATAAAGTTATTGATTGGAGTAAGATTACTGTTATAAAAGTGGTTTAGAATTCGTATTAAAGCCAATAGATTCCTCGGTTTGCTTAGAATCGAAACGCATGGGTATATTTTATACTTGTCGTTCATAAATAATATCTATCTCAACGAACCGAATTTACAAAACCTCTGGATTTCACGAACAATTGTATTATAATAATGTTATATACGTATCCCGGAAATGTATAAATTATCTCGGGTTTGAAATAAGGTATTAATTATTTAGTATAGATATACTGACTCTGTAGATGGAACGCACGGACATAATGCACATTATTGCTATCATTAATATTATTATGAGATTTAGAGTGTTTTCCTGTACTCTATACGAATACCTATATAAATATGTTTTTACATGCGTATTATAATTTATGCGTACAGATAAAATAATAATCTATAATGGGTATCACGGCGACCCATTTCGGCCAACGACCGACGGTTTGTTAACGAAACTATATAATCCGGAATAATTTTCGGAAATGAAACCTTATTATACCGATATAATATTATTATATTATACGGATCGAATAAAACCGCACGGACGCACAGGCAAACGTTTACGTTTCAAAACGTTACAACATCCGGCCATTATTATTATATACTACGCATATAATATTATTTAATTTACCTGTGTCAGTGACGTGGCTATACACTGTATTTCGTGAATCAAAATCTTAATTGTGATACAATATAATTTGTAACAACGTATTGATAAGGTAGTAAGTTGGTTTATAACTACTGATGACAGAACGCGCAATGTGCTTAATATTCTGTATTCCATATCAATTACAAAATATTATCATTCACCCGTATAATAGATAATAAAATCGTGTTTTTCAAATCGAACTGAGTGGTTTATTTATACAACTTGTTTTTAAAAAATCTTTATTCGTGAAATTTATTTAAATTTGTAACAACGTTAGTTGTTTAATGTACCTTTATAGTAATTATTTATATAGGTAGCTATATAATATAGCTTCGTGTTATAGTTCAATTGTTAGGCGTTGCTATTAGGTGTATATGCGAGAAAAAAGAAAGAAAAAAAGTCTCCTGGTTGACATAAAACAATAGCGGTGAGCGTTGTATGAAACAAAATCAATGAAAATAGTTCACTGGATTACAATGCACGTGCGATTTTTGTCTCTTTGAAATCAAGTCTTTGACCGAAAAAACTCCAAGCCTCGGAGGTAAAACCGCGAGAAAAACGTCGAGAAACGGGAATATTTACGCTCAGAGTCGTATTTCGTCGGCAACGGTTTATCAATGCGTATACAGATATAAATTAACTAACTCTATGCGCCTAACTCCTTAACTATACAACACCCATCAGCGGTATCAACTCTATAATACATTATAAACCATTAGTAGGTACCTAACTGTATTATTTATTATAAAATAGTTTACATATAAACGAAATCGTTAATATAATATTATGCGATTTTCGGTGTGTTCAAAAATTTAATAATTAACCTCAATATTGTGGAATTTTCACTATATCGAACACGTGTTAAACAAACGACCGAATTCTTATTGTTGTTGTTACGAATATAATAATGGGCTCTGCATAAATATTTCAATTACAACAAATACATCATTCACCCGTTGGATGAACAGTTCGTAATTCCATATAACGACGTGCGTGTGTAAAACGGCGTAAACAAACACAGCAAGTGCCTATAACATTATTATTTATTATAATGTGTATCGTGTCTAAACCGTTCGTACAATGATAAATATTTTCCCTTAAAAAAAACTATCACTATAATATTATACTTGTATAGTATAGAAAAAGGAACGAGTAAATTATTATTTTTTGAACATATCGGTCTCCGCGGGGCAATAAGGACGCCGGCGGCGTCTTCGATTTGTTTGGTTTTTTTTTTTTTTTGGGACGACGCGTAGTGTCTAAAAAATCTCGTAAAAAAACATTGTCATTTCATAGAATTTCGGAGTTCTTTATTTCAAACGAGACACACCACACGCGCATATAATTTCGCAGCTGTCACGTCTATAATGTTCTACATACGTACCTAGGTTATTATTCTTTTTTTTTTTCTTTTGCGTAACCCGAAAAAAGTTTTATAACATACTCCCCTACAGTAAAAATACATTTTCGTTGTCTTTTCTCCAAATTAAACATACCGTTGGTCCCGTGGAATTTTTGACGTATTTTTTTTATACTTTTTTCTAGTGGAATTTGTTTACTTTTGTTTGCTAGTATAAACAGGGGCCGGGTATTCGAC